CTTCACTACATTTACGAACTTAATTCCATACTTTTACTCTGATACATTTTCAACGTTTGGTTTAGTTACTAAGTAAAAAAAAAAAAAAAAAAAGCGAGAGAAACGCAAATGTTTTGACCCCCCCTACTGACTACAAAGTCAGGTCTTGCCTTGGGTCAACACCAATAGGATACGCCTGTTTCACAAAGCCAGTCTAAATTTATCCTAAACTTGGTTGTTTATATTATTTTTAAGGCTGGGGAAGTTAACTTGTTATTATCACGTTAACTCATTAATCAATTAACGCCGACAATTATTTTATCTCGTATTAACGCAGTTTTTATTATTTCTTTTATTACTGTAAAAGTCTGTTGCTCCCAGGCTTTTATTCGGTACAACTAAAAGTACCGGAACCTGAAGTACGGGAACTGAAAAAGAAAAGAAATTGGCAGATAAACAAATCAACAAACTGGAGAAGGGTACGGCACTTTTACATGGCCCTTTTCCTTTTAAAGTTCCTTCAGACGGCACAGTTGACAGAAGCAAAGTTATTTGTAATCATTGCAAAGTTGAATTGTCTTATCACGGGAGTAATTTGAGTCTAAAATATTACCTAAATGCAAAACACACAGTTGATGCCTGCAAATCATTTAACGAAACAGACAGTGACGCGAGGCTTCAGCAGACTATGTTAGATGCAGCATGTGGGAGAAGTATAGATAAAAAAAGTCAAGAGAAGCTAACAAATGCCATAGCGAAGTGGATAGCTACAGACTGCAGGCCGATTAGTATATTTAAAGACTATTTCCCTGCACAGTAAATCCCAGCAGTAAACTTTTTTTTGTGCTTCACCTAACTCGAACAGGGACATTTGGTACTAGACTGGTTATGCTGCTCCCTGATTTAAAAATAAAAAATTCTGCTGTTACCTCAAAAATTGCCTGTTTTAATGTTATGATTGTGGCTCAGGATTTTGTGGGCAGTTTTTATTTAACTGTTACTGTATAAACAAAATGTTGATTTTAAGTGTTTGCAGAACAAATGTTATGGCACTTCCTTTAACATGGCAGAACATTTAAAATAAAATTTTGCTATACACTACTTTTGAATTCATTACTGTATTTTTGCGTATAAAAATGTGATTAATCACAATTAATCAGGGAAATCATGAGATGAATCGTGATTAAAACTTTTAATCGTTGACCAGCCCTAATTATTTTAAGTGAATTTAACCTTCAAAGTTAACCAAAATGTAAAAAAATGTCATTCAAACTGCACTACTTTTTACTTATACTTTTCACTACATTACTTGAGTACATCTATTTTTACAGTAATTCTTGTTCTTAAGTACAAGCCATTTCAGATACTTTAAGACTTTTACTCAAGTAACATTTGAGTCAGTGACTTGGACTTTTACCAAAGTCATATTTTGGAGAGGTACTTAAACTTTTACTTGACTCTGAGATTTCAGTACTTTATACAACACTTCATACGGCCCGTATTGCTTGGTATTCAGTCCTGTTCTACCTGGGCAGAGTAGGTTTCCTTTACTTACAATAATGGAAAATTGTCACAGTCAATACAAATTACAGACACTTTGGTTAAACAGTAACATGTTATGAAGGAATCTGGCTTGTTTTGGGAAGAAGCCTGGTCCACAAACAGCCTCATGCAGAGAATTGTGTGGCTGAAACAGACTGAGTGAAAACTTTTATAGTGAATAAATATGATAATTTGATAAATGAAATAAGAGAAATCTAAATTTTCTGACCACATTTACAAAACACTGATTCTTTTTCTGATTGTTAGATTTCATAAAGCTCAGATTGACAATAAAGCAACTTTTTTCTGCTTTTTGCTTAAATACAAACAAGTTTCCTGAAGTTTTTTTTAGAGTAAAAATTAAAGGATTATTTTATCCAAAACATTCTAAAGTTACAAATCCCTCTCTCTGTTGTCCAGGATGTGAACCAAGATATAAACACAAATTAAAACCAACTTCACTGAATCACAGCTTCTTCTAGCCTCTGATAGCCACAATAATTGACCCGACGTCCCTGATGTCAAAGGCGGGACTAAAAGTAAAAAATAAACCACAGATATAAAAGCTCTTATAGCAGCTATTTGTTGGCATTTGATGATATAAACAGCGTTTTAGGGACATAATAAAGGGCGTCAATAAAACATCATTGCATTGCAGCAGCCGTCTGGACTGTTATGGATACTTTTTACCAGCTGAATGGCATAAAAACTGAAAGTTCTACACTGGCTTCCCATCAAACATCGCATAAACGTTAAAATTCTGGTTCTGACCTTTAGAGCCGTGCATGGACAGGCTCCATCTTACATATGCGACTTGATTCAGTTGTTAATGGCCCCTCGAACCCGTTTTAGGACGAGAGGTGATAGTCGGTAGCCTGACGTAGTCCGACTCAATTCTAGTCAGAATGAGTCTGATGCTGCTCCATAGAGCTGTGATTATGGGGCGTGTTTCGAACGAACCAGGAAAAAAATGCCTCTGCACTCAATTGGATAGACCTACAACCAATAAGAGCAACGGAGTGCGTGACGTATCTTAAGCGAGGCATAGTTGTTGTCAACAAAAATCAAAGCGTGCAGTTGCACGCCTAGAATAAGAAGATGAGCCTTGATCGCGTTTCTCTGTTCCTCTTTTAAAATTAATTTGCTGTCGATATCTTCTAGAACAGACCTAATAGCAGAATCTACTCACCTCAACTCTCCAGCGGCAGCCATTGTTGTTGTCACCCAAGCGCGCTTTGGTCACGTGGTTGATTACGTTACTGTTGATCATCTGTCCATCAACGTATAAAGCCCGCCCTGACAATTTGATTGGCCCGCCAGATATTGTGCTAGCATAGTCGCGCTACTGTTGAGCAATGCCAGACCGAACTTCCTGACCTCAAACGTTGTGGGCGGGACTAAGTTCGGAATGGCACCCAGGCTAGATAGTCGGACCCAGACTGTGGACTACTCTACCACTTTACCTTTGCTTGGTGAATGATTTTAAAAGACAACTAAAAACATTTGTTTTTAACCAAGCATTTTAAAAGTATTTTACCAAGTTCTGCTATGACTGTATTTATTTCGCCTACATGTACTTTATATTGTGTTGCTTTGTATTTTAAGCCTTATATTGTACAGCACTTTGTGACACTTGTCTGAGAAAGGTGCTATATAAATAAACCTTACTTCCTTATAAATGTTTTATACCCTTTGATGCAGAAATGAATACAGTTTTTGCAGTTTTAATCAAAAATATTTATTAAAAATGTTTATCTTATATCTGTGGCCTGACAGAGACGTTTTCATCTCAAAGCACCAATGAGATCAAGTGACTGATTTACAAAGTAGGATAAAACAGGTGACTTTCCCCTTTCCTGAACCTGATCACTGATCAAATGGCAGAAAACTAAACATCCATCATTTTTTCCGGTGTATAACAGCAAAACTGGTGATTGCTGTCCTCTCTGTGTCCCTAGTTTTTGCTAAAGCCAATGATGCAAACTTAAAGGACCAAACAGCTGGGTTTAGAGGGTTTAGTGTGTGACCTTTAGTAACCAATGTCTGCATAATAACAGCCAGAAATCTAAAATAAGCAACAGGTTTTCTCATAGTGTAACAGATGTCACCCAGATTACAGGAATGTTACAAGCTAGTGGCTAAAAGCACAGCAGGTCCTACAGTTTAGGTGGGAAGGGCCTTCATGCAGTGAGGTGAGGTTTAATCTCTATCTTTGTTCTCTCAAAATAGAAAACTGAACTTTAAAAAAAACACTTGATTAGAGTGGATCTCAGAGAGGATCATTGGATCTATGGAGGGAATTTTACTCAATTATTACTGGAAATAATTGGAAATGAAAAGAAAAAAGTTTTACAAAAATTAAATGTAACGGGATACAAAAATTAAACTTTGAAAAACTCAAAAATGAAACTTTGAAAAACTCAATCAAAAAAAAAATTTAAGATTAAGATAAAGTATTTTCTACAAATATATTTCCAAGTTTTATTTTCCAAATTTCGCTGTTTGAGATTAAGTTTTATGAATTGCATTCTTTGTAATGCATTTTCCAAATCTCACTCTGTTCACCTTTGGGGGCGGGCTTTCCTTTGGAGTGACGAGCAAAGACGCATTTCTATTGGTTTGCTGGAGGCTGGAAACAAAATTTTATCGAGCTTTAATTTTAGAGAGTTTTATCTGTAAAAATAAAAAAAACATGAAAATGATAAAACTCAATCTGAAAAAGAAAATTGACAAATAAAATAACAAAAAAATATAAAATTGTGCAAAAAAAGTTAAGAATAAAATATAAAATTAGAATAATGAAACATTTTACCCTTTAAACTGTTTTTATTTTGAAATTGTTGAGATTTTTCTTTTTTTTTCCCTTTTTCCCGTTTTTATTGACTGAACGTTTTTTTTTTACTTGACACAAAATGGAACAAAATTCACTCCATATCTGACAGGGCGGTTTATCTTTTTCCAGTTTGCTGTTTTCTTCCCCTGCTGATTGACCCAGTAATGTCCTACAGTTACGTGACCTTTGTGTGTATTTTTATCCTGCAGTCAAAGGCTGTAAAATGCCCCACATCTCAGCCTGAGGGTTCTCCGGTTCACAGGACAAACAGCGCAGCATCAGCCATGAAATCCGATGGTCTGAGTGCAGCTAACAAACCAGGAGAAAGCCAGAACTCCAAAGCCAAGAACGGAAAGAAACCCGGAGACAGGAGCGTGGCAACTAAAGCAAAGGCGCCATCAGCCGGCACACCGGTCGTCAACGGCAACGCAGCTGCTGGGGCAAAGCGAGAGGTGGCCTCTGCAAATGGCCCCAGAAGCTCCTACGGCCCAAAAGAGCAGGAAAAGAAGCCAAACCCAGGTGCTAGGCCTAAAACTGCTCCACTTAGCTGCACAGGAGTAACAAAGGCACAGAGGAGCTCTGCAGGGAAGGCTGACCGGTCTGCCCAGGCACATCCCACATCTGCCACTACCTCGCCAGAAAACTGTGCCAGCAATGTGCAGGACGACGGCCACTCCATCCCAGGTTCACCCTCTTTTATTGACACATTTTATCATCGCTGACATTCGTTATCCAGGGGTGCAGAGATTTCCAACCCAGGGGTGCGCAGGACAAAAAATTTAATGGCAGTCTGATTGTTTTTTTCCTCACATTATAGAGATTTAAATAAAAATTTCTTTTGGAAAATGTAGAATTCCAACAGTAAATTCAGTGAATATATAACATTTACTTCACAGTAGGGCTGAAACAATCAAATTAATTGTGATTTATTGATTATTGAAATAATCGTCAACTAATTTAGTAATCGATTAATCCTCAACTGGAGTATAGAAACTCTAAAACAGGGATAACCAATAAAAAATCAGTGGGGTCCGAATAAAGAAAATCAATAACCATTAACGGTCTGGAGACATTTTAAATTATAATCCGTTACTTTAAACACAATTTAAAACTGAAATAATATGAGGTTTTTATGCATCTATGTTTTTATTTCTTTTTCCTGTCTTAATGTTGGCAGTGGGCTTTAGGCTGCCCTGCAAGGCTTTAAACCTGGGTTTAACCAGAGACTAAGCCATTCTCAAGCACATATCAAGGAGCTCATTTTGAGCCTGGATCCAGATTTATTGTTGATTCTGTTCATGGTGGAGAATCCTGCTTCACAGCAGCAGGTTGAGCCAAACATCCTCTAAATGTGCAGGGTCATCTTTGAGCACGCCATTTCACTTTTCTTTCACCAGTTCACCGCAGTTCTTCCAGCAGTCCACACTTTCTCTGCTCTCTTTTTCTCATCGTCTTCTCCTTCTTTCCCATCGCCTGGCTTGCCACAGGTTTGCCTGCTGTGTCTAAAAGTAGCAGCAGCAGCAACCCAGACTGACAGCTCATTGGCTCATTTGGATCACGTGCAGCCTGGAGCCGGACGCTCCGGAGAGCTTTACCGTATTAACAGGAGAAGCGGCGCAAGTGAAATTAGACACTGTCGCCGTACAACATGTGGTAATTTCTAAATGTTTTAAATCAGGTTGGGTGTATGAACATTGATTTGTCAGGAAACGAAGAACATCCATCTGCTGCTGGCGGCAGAGGTCAGACTTTTCCCAGCTGTCGCACAGCGGTGCGCGTCAGACCCCCGAGCTTCTCTAATGAGTGAGCTGATACTCATCTGTCCTCTCTAAGTCCTGCTGCTTCATACAGTCCACTCTGAGGAGGGATGTTTCAGCTGCTTCACCTCAAACTGTTTGATCTAACAACTGATCAACTGAAACATCTGTGGATATCACAGAGAGATCAAACATTTTTACCTTGAAAGAAATATGAATTGTGGCTTGATTTATGAATTCACAAACTCCCAAAAAAATATCTAGGTACCCAATTAGCTCAAAGATCTGTGGTGAATGTCCCTCTCTTTTGCGAACACGTTCTACAGGAGGATATCCAGATTAATACTGTGTAGAATTCAGAATGAATTACACATATCAATCTGGCTTATGGCAGGTTACAAATGTTTACATCTACAAAAATAGTTGTTTTCTTTGCTTGGAGTTATAAGCAATGCATCAGTCCGTTTTTATTTGACCCTTGGGTTCATCTAACCCAGAGGTCACAGATTAGCGGAAGAGGGATTTCCAACATTTATAAATGACCACATGTTGTCCGACAACAGTATATAACTTTGCTTGCGCCTCTTCTCCTGTTAATACGGTAAATCCCTGTAGAGCGTCCGGCTCCAGGCTGCACGTGATCCAAATGAGCCAATGAGCTGTCAGTCTGGGTTGCTGCTGCTGCTACTTTTAGACACAGCAGGCAAACCTGTGGCAAGCCGGGCGATGGGAAAGAAGGAGAAGACCATGAGAAAAAGAGAGCAGAGAAAGTGTGGACTGCTGGAAGAACTGCGGTCTCCATTCAGACCCAGGTTTAAATGTCATCGCAGGGCAGCCTAAAGCCCACTTCTCTCATTAAGCCATAAAAAAGGAAAGCAAGAAAAAAAGGTCAGTTTAGGTGTTTTATAAAATATATAAAAGTCAGGAAATCGTCTATATACCGAACTGTGAAAGATTGTTTCAAAAAGCACTTTAGATTTTAAAATGGAAAAACTTTCTATTTATTATTATTATAATATTATTATCTAAAAAAAATCAAAGTATAACATGGATACATAAACACCTGCATTTTATTTCAGCATTAAATGTTGTTTAAAGTAATGGATTATAATTAAAATGTCTCCAGACCTTTACTGGTTGTTCATTTTCTTTATTCGGACCCCGCTGATTTTTAATTTGTTTCCCCCTGATCTAAACCCAGAACACTTCATGTATTAAAGCTTATTGTTTCCATTCCATGCAGCATGCAGCCATAACAGTCGTATCTGTGTTTGGTTTCTAGGTGCAAAGCCCAAACAGGCCAAAGCAGTCAGCAGGTCCCCACTGACCAAACCTCCTCAGAGATCTGAGACAGCCAAGACCAGCAGGTGAGACCTACTAATGTTCAGCTTCATTTGTCACCTGGAAACAAGTTATTCCCTCACTGTAGGGGAAATTGACAAGTTACCTTTTTCTTCTTAAATATAAGCCATTATGACCC